ACCGCGGACCGACGACGACGCTCAATGATGAAATTGGATGCACCCCTTCCTTCATCGACGATACCCCCCACCTACCCTTAGGGATGCCGCCCGTTGCCGTCCCCACGGTTTGACGGCAACGGTCTACGGCTATGCGTTACCGTACCGTCAGCAGTTTCGTGGTTTTTGCTAGCGGGACGGCTACGGTTCGGGGTTGACCCGTCGATACCGTGGAATTACGGCCGTCACGGCCGTAATTCCGGGTCAACGGTTAACCGCCGGGTCATCCCATATGACTAAGTCGTGACGTGGCTTCCTCACGACGCTCATGAGCAGGCACCAGCGCTCCATTTCTCGAAACCACATCCACAGATGTCCAACCATCTTAGACATGACTGCATTCCACATTGCCCCTAAGACTGCCATGAAGACCGATTCATTTCGGCCCCATTGACAACGCTGCATGCTGCGCGTTTGTCCCCAAACGAACGATGCGGCAATGACAAGGTAAAGTGAGCTCACCAAATTGTCATCTTGGCTGCTCATCTAACCCGCATTGTCCATCCCTAGCAACAAAACCATGTCTCTGCCGCAAAGGTAGCCATTTCTCTCTCTCATTTCTGTGTACGAAGTGGCCCGATTACTGGAGTTGCTGACATTTCTCTTTGCTCTTGCAGCTATAAAAGACGGTACATATTTTTCCTTCAAAACAACACGATGTCTGACCAATGTGCAGTCGATGCCAATGGCAACCTCAAAGATGCAAAAGACATCACATTTTATGACTCTGAAAGCGACGAGCGGCCTCTCCGTGCGTATTTCCCACATATCTCGGATTCTAATCCATTCTCATGGTCCTTCTAGCTCAGCACACTCTGCGCCGCAGCGACCGCCCTCGTCAATCCGATAACTTAGCCTTATACCTTGCCGCCGAAAAGACTGACGAATATGGCAACACTCTTATCCCCCGCGAACGCCGCACCCGAAAACAGGCACAGACTCGTGTGCCTCTTGTTGCAGAGACAGTCAGCGAGGAAGAGGACGACGATTACGATCTTCCAGCGCTGGAATCGATGTCGGACTCCGAATCAGAGGACGACGCTTCCGACAGCAATGGAATCACAAACGACGAGGTGTGTGGCTTTTGGCTGTTCTCGTCCGCATATCTCATGCTTGTGTCCAACAGATAGCCGATCTGCTTGCGGCGAAGACGGCCCCAGCACACATGGGCGCCCCAATCGCTAAAACGACGCGATCGCATGGCAATAAACGCAAAACGACGGCCGCACCTCTCGAGAGCAGCAAAACAGCCCGCATTTCCGCAAACAGTAGTGTCAGCACTGTCATCGACGATGAAGAGGATGAAGAAGCAGTAGCGGCCTCCCGTGTGAGTTCGTGCTCGATACAAGCTGTCCTTCCCTGACCTTTTTTTGCAGAAGAAGAACCCCATATATTACTTCTTCGACACCGTCTCGAAGAACCAAGAGGGGACTGTCGGCCAACGTGGAGACAAGCACTACGTCGCCCGCCATGGGGTTAACCGCACTGTGCTCACGATCACCAAGAGTATGCGATACAATACGGCCAGTATGTCATGGAAACTTTCCCCTGTCGGTTGCTCATCCTCTTCCGAAGAGCTTTCAGCCCATCTCAAAAAGTACTCGCCGTTGCACTACCGACTATTCTGTAGTCTCTATGCTCGGCGCGATACACCACCAAGTCAACAGGAGCTCGATCTCGCGCGAGGAAGTGTTTCGATCGACAGCGACGAGGCCCGGGCCTATCTTTCCCAGCTTGAAGCAGCGACGGAGAGTATCGTGCAAGCGCTGCAGAAACAAGCGCAGAAGGATCAGGCAAGTACTGAGTGGTCTTCGCTCACTAATAACTAATTATACCGAAGGGAGAATTCGAGGACGAGGTCTTCCAAAGCCTTTTAGCTGAGTGGATGGTTGCGTGTGATCAGCCATTCGAGGAGGTGGAAAGGCCCGAGTTCGTCCGACTAATGAAGTACACCCACCATGGCGCTACTGCAAACTTCAAGATTCCGGGGCGTACTGCGATCCGGTCGCGCATCATGAAAATGGGTCAAGACACGATTGAAGGCACACGGAAAATGTTCGCAGTATGTTATAACCTTTCCACTTGATAGTGTCAAGCTTATATTCATATAGGAACTTGACTCGAAGGTCAGCATCTCTCTGGATGCGTGGACTTCACCAAATCAATACGCCTTTTTGGCTATTGTTGCCCACTATGTGACAAACGATGGCCGCCTTGGTATATCTCGTCTGCTGGCCTTGCACGATATTGATCCCCGTTTCAGAAGAGCTTCTCATCGATTTCCAAGAGATCGTTGGAGAGCATTCCGGGGAAAACATGGCGGAAGTGGTTTGGGGGACAATCGAGAAATACGGACTTGAGCAAAAGGTACCATTTATACCTAGCTATTCCCATTGAATCTATCCTCATGTTGTCGCTTCAGATGTCCGCATTTATCATGGATAACGCTACCAACAATGACACGATGATCGATGCACTCGAAGTCAAATGCACATCTCGCGACATTCCGTTCGATGCCAACGCCGCGCGAATTCGTTGTTTGCCACACACGATTCACCTAGCGGCCGTCAAGGTTTGACCATTCAATAAAACCTATGTTTCTCTACTGATCTCTCGTTGCAGTTGCTCGAAACTATTGGCGCGATTTCCAAGTCAGATAGTCGGAAGGCTCAGAGTCAAAGCGGCGATTATCAACATTCCGTTAGTGCACCACTGGACGGAGACAGCGACAATGATGGGGAAGACGACACCGATGACGAGGACAGCCAGTCGCACCGACAGTCCAAATACGAGCCGGTACATAAGGTATTGTATCTGTCGCAAACTATGACTGTTATATCTCATAAACTGTAGCTCCGCCCGAATTAACCGCGCTATTCGTTCAAGCCCTCAGCGACGTCAGGAATGGATCCGCGAGGTAGAGGCTTCGGAAGATTTCCGCACAGGAAATTTAGGCAAACATGCACTACTTCCTACGCTCGATGTCAAAACCCGATGGTCATCGACTCATATGATGACCCGTACGAGTATTTCTTAATCAATTCAATGTAAATACTCAAGAAGTTTGGGTTCCAGGTCGTAGTATCCATTACCGCAAGCCCACAGATGACTTCGTTGGGAAGCATCGTGAGCTTCGTCATCTTGATTTGGATGACAATGACTGGGACGGAATCACCCTTGTTTCAGGCTGGCTTAAGTCATTCCGATCTGCGACGACTCTTATGTCAACAACCAAGCGACCGATGCTATCATACACCCATGCGATATTCCGTGGCTTGCAAGAAGATCTGAAGGCCTGTCTTCGCGATCTGCCCCTGTCGACTCCATCTATTCTTCGTAACGGACTTCTTGCCGCCTACAACAAACTGAGCGACTACTACTACAAGATTGACGCCTCACCGTTCTATACTTGGGCTGCCTGTAAAGTAACTCTCTCAGTTAGCGCTTCATGTTCTGATACTTATAGTGCTTGACCCTCGTATTTCCTACGAGGGCTTGAAGCAGGACTTTAGTGATGACGAAGACCTACTCTCCCATCTCGAGATGTCCAAGCTGGCACTGGACGACTACTTCAAAACACACTACCTGAAGTTCAATCTTGTCTCTGTCACGCCTGCGCCGCCGGCCATCCCACGCCCAGGAGGCTCTCCGCAAAAGGATTTTACAGCAAGATATCGCGTCCAGCGGGAGCGTGTCTTGGACGAGTTAAGGGAGTACTTTAGTCTCCCGCGCGAAGATTTCAATAGCTGTGATCCCCTGAAGTGGTGGGCTGCGCGTCAAGCGCAGTTTCCAAACCTCTTTCGGCTAGCCCGCGACTTGATGGCCATTCCTGGTATGTACCTTCTCATTATTCCTGTCAACTCATTAACTTGAGGCAGGTTCCGCTGTTGCTGTCGAGCGCATCTTTTCCGGAGGTCGCGATACCATATCGCTCCGGCGCTCTCGTCTTAAGCCTGAAACAATCAGCACCTTAATGATCGTCAAGCAGCGTCTTCGTCTTGCACGCGAAGCTATTTTGGAGATTGCGGGGTAGTTTATATGAAGTATAATGCACTAGTCTTAAAAAAAAATGCCGTTTCCCGTTCCCATACCGTTACGGCCGTCCCGTCAGCCGTGCCGTACCCGTTGACCCTTGGGTAGCCCAGCACAACGGCCGTGTATCTGACGGCCGTTGCCGTGGGATAGCCGTCAAAGTCAACGGCCGTTGCCGTTACGGCAACGGGCGGCATCCCTACCTACCCTATATCCATTTCTAATCAACAAATTCCTACCTTCCCACCCTGGATATTTACTCCCGACGGCACCCATGTCCAAAACCCAAACAGTACTTTGACCGTGACGATCTGGACATGTAGGCCTCGGCAATCCAAGTGTGCTGACACTTGCGGATGAGGCGCGCGAGCCGGCGACGAACTGCCAAAGGGCTGCGTAACTTGGTGTACTACATGATGCCAGAGGTATCTATGGACGGCAATCAGTTGATGGGGGAGCACAGACGGAATGGGGGAGCGGCTCGTCATGGGGGAGTGTTGAAGTTTTGATGGTCACATGTGTGACTCGCCGGAATGTTCTGGCAGTTTCTACTTGCGCTGACTGATTTTCTACTGACTCATTTAGAATATACTGGAACAATGTAAAAACAGTATATAAAGTGAATAGATAGTTAGCGTAGGGCATCGTTTGCCCTAACGCACAGATTCCTAACCGGAGTGTGATTGCAAACAGATTCCTCGCTCACTTTGATCCCATCGGATCACCTCGGAATTTCAACACTACTTGCTTATAAACTACAAGCAGTCCTAGGTGTTTCTTTAAATGCAATATGTCCCTCAAGCACAAATCTTGTTTTGCCCGCTCCCGAGCGCCGAAACCATCTTTGAAGTCGGTCCAAAGTGAGATTTTTCGGGGATGACATAATCGCCTTCCTCGCTCCATTTTCGCATGATCATCGCGTCGTCCTCCTTTCCTTCCCGCCTCCACGACAGACGATGTCGTGCCCCAATTGCTTCACCGGCGAGGCCTTGGAGGGCACGCCGACCGGAACGATCTCCGACATTGACAACGCAGCGTACTTCTCCCCGGGCCCGGGCCCGCAAGGTGCCTCCGCCAAACGGGCACTGGCAATCATCCTGCTGACGGACATATTTGGGCTCCCGCTGAACGTGCGTGTCCATTCTCGTTGTTGCATGGCGCCTGACTGACTGTGGCAGAACGCGCGCATCATCGCGGATAACTTTGCCAAATCGCTCGAATGCGATGTCTACGTGCCCGACCTCTTTGCGGGCCGCCCGCCCGTGACGCCAGAGCAGATGTCCGCCATCCCGCAGAGGGCGGGGCTCAAAATCGGCTTCTTGGGCTACGTCAAACTCTTTTTCAAGGTGTTGCCGAGCCTTTTCGCGCTCATCCGCAACCGTCCACCCCAGGGCGCTGCACGGGCACTTACGGTGCGTCGCCTTCCCACTTCTAGCTACCAAGCTCATGCGTTTCTAGTTCATCAACAAGCTGCAGGAATCGAAGAAGTACGAGAAACTGGGGGCTATTGGGTGCGTTGCTACTTCTGGAGTCCGACACTTGTCTCATGGCCCAAGTTACTGCTTCGGTGGCGGCGTGTCCCTCATTCTCGGCTCGCAACACCCCGCGCTCTTCAGCAGCATCGTCATCGCCCACCCGTCCCCGCCCAAAGACGCGCAAATTCTCGGTATAACGGCGCCCACTGCCTGGATCGCGGCGGAAGGTCCATGGAGCAACAAATTTCTGACCAAACACTAACGCTAACACGCCTCCAGACGATTTCGCCATCTCGAAAGCGCGGCTGGACCAGATCGAGGCGCTGTACAAGGCGCGGGAGGGGAAGGACACGTATGTGGAGTATGAAATCAAGGTGTACCCTGGTGCGTGGCGTTTTTACGTCCTCGTTCTCTCTGTTGACTGTGTCGTTAGGGACTGGTAAGGCGAGACGATGCCGCATGCTGGATCGCACTGACGCTTTCCAGCGCATGGATTTGGCGCGCGGCCCGCGCTGCAGTACCCCGAGGTCAAGGAGGCGTTCGAGAAGGCGTTCCAGCAGGCGGTGGATTGGTTCAACAGGACTATTCCGGTGTAGAAGGGCTGGTTTCAGACTTGGGTAGGATGTGTGTCGTCAGTAGTGCTGTCCACAATTATATTATGCTAGAATATATTTTGAATATATTCGAATAAATATGATTATATTATGCCCTTTGCATATTCAGACCCATTGAATATGAGTGATTATGAATATGAATATATTATGAATATAATATATTATACCTTGGCCATAATTAATTATATTCAAATACACCAGCAAGCCCTTCAGCCAGAGGTACTAGCTCTGTAGCAGGCTACTAGCAGCAGTAGCAACATCTTCAAACTCAGTCTTTACCATATCAATGGCTTTTGGCAGTAAATCAGGCCGGACAATATCCATATCCAGCCCTGACAGAAGGCTGAAGTTGACCTTTATATTGCTACCCTGGACTTTGATGATACTCTTCGCTGGTGAAGGTATCATACTTGACCTAGGCTAGAGTTTTGTTCAGCTTAATATCTTGTTGTAGAATATCCAGGCTATGTTACCAATCCTGGTTATGGCTGCAAAGAGCATCTCTGTAGGGCACCTGGTCTCCAGACTCCAGCATCAAGCATAGGATGACAGATATGCATGCCTCAATGACTGCAAAATTGGCCACAGAAATAACCATAACCAAGGAGTGGTTCAATAAACCATGAGATAAGGTGGATTATATGCACTATGTGCAGACTTGTGAAGCTTGAATATAATTGAATATATTCATAATATATTCATATTCTGAGCCCAATTATGATTATGAATATGAATACAATTATAATATGCTCCAGCAGAGAGAATATATTATGAATATGAATAAATTATGAAAATTTCGTATTCATAATCATAATTGGACAGCACTAGTCGTCAGGATGGGTTTATTATCGTAAGAGTATGTGAACTTGGATCTGTCTTGTTGCTGCTGGCCGGCCCGGGGGCAAGAATTCACGCATGGAGGTATAGACACGTGGATTATAATTAGCTGTGAGCTAAGGATATGAAGGGAAGAACTATTTTTGCCATTCTCCCCGACCCATTATTGTTCGCCCATAACACTAACACTATCGGTGTGCGCTTGTTAGTGGCCCTTCTCCAAGAGGGTGAGAAACGGGAAGCACCACGATCTTCTATCGTTTCGCGACTGTCTGCGACGACAGCGCCGTCCACACTCTGACTGCACAGTCAGTCTTGTTAAGCTTCGCAACGAGACACTTACCTTGCCGAGCAACGAGCACGAGTTGGCGACAACAGCGCCGTCTCGTCTTTTCCATCGAGGCTCGAGCGGGGTCAGGCTGGAGATCGAAGTCAGCGAAAGGACGGAGAACGAGCGGGAGAGCGCAGACTTGGACGGGAAACCCAAATGAAACTGCGATCGGCGGTAACGGGGAGTATATTGGACTTGCTGAGGAGTTACCACCACTAACCGTTTGTCAGAATGCTATCGAATGGTAAGCATGCGTGAAGTGAAACGAGGACGTCTAGTACCTGCGAGTTGCGCCCGAGCTGCTAAAGCACAAAGTGAGCGCGCCTTCTCAACTTAAACGGTGCCTGCTTACCGTTTGTTCGCTTAACAACGACAGCGTCTTGAAGACGGCTTCGAGACTGTCTTGGACGACAGCTCCCAGGCCTCAGGCTGCAGCTGTAGAATGCGAGTCAGCGTCGTCAAACAACATGACGCGACTATAACCACCTTGACAACTTGGATATATCACGAGAACAGTGCGTTCTTCGCCTTCACGAGTGCCAACGGCCTCACAACGCTGGCACGAGCAAGCCCCCGAACGGAGGCGGGCCAACAAAAGCGGTCGCATTTGCGAGTGGGATCTCATCGTCGTCGAGCGCTGTGTTGACTGAGGTGAGTGCGGGCAGCTTCAGATTAAGGAGTGCTGATTGTTGGGCTGGAGTCGGGGACTCTGTCGAGCGGGGAAGAGTAGTGCATGCTCTTCATCGTCGACAACAAGGAGCTTATGAAGGAGAAGGTGAGCGCGAGATACTGCAGGAGTGGATAGCACTCACCTAACGCGAGGCAGCCGTGGGCCGTCGACGGAAAACTGCGCAAATGTGTCGAAAAACGAACGAGAGCCTGCGGGAAACACCGTACGACTTATAAGAACTCGCCAGTTACGATACGACCCAACTCACCGACTTCGTTACCCGGCTATGGCTCAGTAGGCCCACTAGCGAAACTCCATGGTGAGCGTGAAGAGGGAAGCTTTGCTCGCGAACTATCGTCATCGACAGTACCGTCTCGAAAAAATCAGCTAGCAGGCATGGGTTAGTCTGTGTATACGGTCAGCGACTGGAAAACATACCAAAGACCCGATACAGGTGGAGCTCTAACGCAGCAACCAGCAAGGTGGCGAAATGGTGGGAAGGGCCATCTCGTAGTAGTTCATCGTCAATGGTGTGTTGTGGGAAGAAGCCTTCTTATGTCCGCTTTCTAGTCTGAAGCATACTAGTATCTGAGAAGGCTACTACAGGAAAGTTAGCAAATGAGTGCGGGAGAGACCAAAAAGTTACACACCTTTTGGCCAACCGAACCATATCCTGCACTGGTTATAGCCTCGTTCTAGCCCTTCCCGGTCTCGCAATACACGTCTTACGCCGAGCAAGGACCAGCGCTTCAGCGCCAACCGACGCCAAGTGGGCAAAGCAAGGCGAAAGGAGTCGGACGGGTAGCAGACATGCAAGGCAAGAGCAGTGGTTGTGAGTGAGATACGAGGGATTTATGAGCATTTGGGCCATCTTCATGCCAGAAGGACATGCGTCGTGGCTGGAGGAAAGAACCCCTGATATTTTCGGGTCACAATTGGTCACACTGTCTTCCTGCTGCTTTCACGACTCGCTATCTTATACATATCTCTCTTCTCTATCGTGTGTCTCCCTCTCTCCCTTCATTCGCAACGGACCCGCCTAACATTGTACTCAGTACTCCGTAATACTTCAATACCGCGGCCGCCAGCAACCAGTTCCGTTTCCTTGACAACTTAAGCACCGCTACGATCTTATAATCCCAGCTCTATGGTGAGCAACAGCTCCGTTGTGTCAACCTACATTGACTCTTTCCAGCCAAGCAACTATGCACCCCTTCCCAACGACGACCCCGTTCTTCTCCCCCGCGAATCCGACGAGGAAATCACAGCACATAGCTGCCTGCTCCCTTCCCTTCAAACAAACGCGGATTCTGGATTGAAAGTCGCTGAAGACTCCTTGTACACTTACAGTTATGGCCCTCCCGGGCTGTCTGGACTGTGGCACAACTACTACGCCTTCTTGTGTGCGGTCTTCGCGTCCATAGGCGGGCTGAGCTTTGGGTATGACCAGGGCGTGGTGTGTCCCAACCTTCTGCTTCATATACATTGATTAACTCTTCTTCTCTCCAGATTGCCAATGTACTTGTAATGGAGGACTTTGTAGGCCGATGGCCAATAACACCGCTGCAGAAAGGCGCTCTCAGTGCGTGCTCTACCTTTCGCTCATAACCGGCCCTTACTGTTTTCAGCTGCTGTTCTTGAACTGGGCGCCCTGATTGGCGCTCTCACGTTCGGAGTTTTGGCCGATAGATACTCCCGCCGACATTCCATCTTCATTGCCTGTGGTATGTTTACGGTAACCTCCGTCCGTCTAACTTCATATCGTCGCTAGTCATATTCAACATTGGCGCGCTCTTCCAAACATTCGCGCGAACACTTGCAGACCTTTTCATTGGTCGCGCTGTTGGCGGCATTGGTGTCGGCGCTCTAAGCATGCTTTCACCACTTTATATATCGGAAATCAGTACACCCGAAGTACGCGGCTCGCTCATTGCGCTCGAACAATTCTCGATCGATCGTCCTTGGAGTCGTTGTCGGATTCTGGATTGGGTTCTTCACGCGAAATAGTATGTGGTGGTCGTTTCATTTGACTCCATACTCAATTTCTCCGCCAGTCCCAGGTTCGGCGTCATGGAGGATTCCGCTTGGTGTCCAAATCGGCCCCGGAGTCCTTCTAGCTTTCGGGGCGTTGTTCCTTCTTCCCGCTTCGCCTAGATTGCTTGTGCTGAAAGGCAAATATGACGAAGCAGAAGCCAGTTTGGTCAAGCTGCGTGGTCGCGATGACGTGCTCACAAAGGTTTTATCTTGCTTCTTGAGGTCTGTCGCTGACCTGGCTCTAGATCGAGCTTCTCGAAATGCGTGTCGAAGCAGCCTTGATTTCCCAATCCAACTCGGATTCGCCCAAACCTGGTGCCCAGAACGAGTTTTCGGCGTGGCGGCAGTTGTTCTCCAAGAAATACCGCCCGCGCATGCTGGTGGGGGTTCTTATGATGTTCTTCCAACGCAAGCTACAGTTTCTTTTGCGTCTCTCCACTGATATGACTCTTAGAATGGAGCGGAATCAATGCATTACTCTATTATATGGTCCCACTCTTGTGAAGAGTATTGGTCTCAAAGGCGAAACTATCTCGCTGATTGTTTCTGGGGGAATTGGAATTGTCCAGTTCATTGCTGTTGGACCCGCTGTCATATATATCGACCGAGTTGGTAATTGTCTCTTTTGCTCTGTTTATATATCCTGTTGACCCTGCAATCAGGACGCAAGCCTTTGTTAAGAGGTTACTTCTGCATCGTCCCCTATCCATGTAGTTAACGCGAAAAAGGTGGTAGCTCGTTTATGGCGGCCTCTCATCTTATCATTGCCGTCCTCGTCAGTGCTGAACTTCCTTTCTCTTATATAATGCTGACTGCCGACCAGGTAATGCAGTTCCAATCAGACTGGAGCTCGCATGCAATAGCCGCATGGACCGCTGTTGCGTATGGCTTTCTTTTGTTTCCGCCTCAGCCCCTCTGAAAACTTTCCCAGTGCAATCTATACATTTACGTTTGCATATGGCGTCTCGTTTGGACCCATTGGATGGGTCCTCCCGAGCGAGGTCTTCCCGCTGTCGATGCGCGGCCGTGGAGTGGCTCTATCAACTGCCTCCAACTGGAGCAACAACTGTCCGTCATTATGTCTACCGTGTTGCGTCTCATGACCTGCTTCAGTCTTCATCGGGCTCGTAACACCAATCATGATGGAATACTCACCTGCGTCTGCCCTTTCTTCTGCCGACATCACCGTCTACTGACAACTTCTCCAGCGGGACGTTCCTCACATTCGCCACAGCGTGCTTCGTGGCCTATCTGTGGGCCACCTATACGGTGCCGGAAACAGCGGGCGTGACACTCGAAGATATGGACCGCGTGTTTGGCGGGGACGCAGGAAGAGAGGACCACGTCAGGCGGAGAGAGGTACGTTGTTGTTCTGCGGCTTGACAGATGCTGATATGGGTTCTTCGCAGCTTGAGGAGGAGATGGGGCTGCGTGCGATGGTGATGGAGCTTGCTGAAAATCATGGATTATGACCCACATAGAATCAAAGGGGTTGATATTTTTCAAGGTTTGCACATATCTGGCGCGAAAGACGCAGGGGTATGAACGCCCGCAGGGCCGCAAATGACAAAGAGGAGGTTAGATGTGGTAATCTGGGAGCGTCAGGCGACACGCCTTGTTTTGACTCGGGAACTGGAGATAAACCCCAGATGTGTCATGTGATGGGTGACAAATTTTCTTCTCGACCACGACAACCACCTGGAGCGTTCCCAGCCTGCAGACACGTCGGCACCCTTATTGCAGCATCCTAACGACCTATTCGCCTCTTATATCACTCAGCTCAAGCTTTTCTGAGCTAGTTATAGCCGGCATCGATGTATCCGACCAGGGTACAGGTGGCGACGCTGACAAGCGGTAAGCACGAGCCTGTTCAAACAAAAGCAGACTCACCAAGCCCATAGGCAGTGCCCAGGCCAGACAGCGCGCGATCAGGCGCAACGCCAACGACGGCGGCTCAGGCTCATAGAGTAAGCGACAACGGGCCTGTCGGGTCTCAGGCTGTTTCCGCAGCGCAATCGTTAGCCTCTGTGGTTCTAGCACGCGGTAAGCGCAAAGATGGGGATGTGAAGAGTGAGAACAGGGAAGACGAGATCTATGGAGACAGTGAGTGGAGCAAGAGATTCTGCGGGCTCATGCTGGCGCGAGGCGGATGGCCATCGTGCCTTTCCACTCCACCCGTGCTTCCTTCCGCTCTCATTCATTTGCGCTAGCCCGTTACTAGTAGAAGGGGCGGCTATGGGAACATCACCATGCCTGTGCGCTCGCTGCGACACGCTCGCAGTATGTAGACCCCGTCCCGTCAACACCCCAACTGCGATGAGCTTCCTTGTCCCTTTACCCCTCCCCGGGTACCGCGCGCGGCCCAGGTTGAATGGCAAAGGTGTGTGGCGTGCTTGCAGCGGGTTTCTAAGCTGACCGCCTTGTGCAGAGTGTTATTATGGCGCTGACGCTGAAGATTACTGTACTATTTCATTCAATTCTGCGGGCCTGTGACCTGTGACACATGTGGCAGAAATGTGCAATTCAGCCAAGGGGTGAATTTGGTGTGACCTCCTGCCTTATATGGAAGTTCTGCGCGCCGTAGGCGCGGAAATTTTTTAAGAATTACCATTTTAGGACGGTTTAGGGCCAAAGAAACTCGCTGTGACCTGTGACAGGCAGAAAATTTTCGGCCAAAAAAGTCAATGTGACCGTGACAGGACTAATTGATTGAAATAGTACAGTACGAGTCGGATTCAGACTACTTAGTCTTTGACACAAAACAATGCCAAAAGTCGACACGCATTGTACGGACCGTGGCCTAATCTTTCCCCTTACGCTACCCCCGCGACCAAAACTGTAATGCCTCAATGTATTCCTACCTCTACATCTGCCTATGAATCGACCTGCTTTCTGAAGACGTTAGTCTTGTCCACTGCGTCGCCGTCCGTTTCCCTTCCCCCCGGGTAATATCGCCACGCAGGCAACAAATAATACTCCGTTCCCGGCTGGTAGCTGCCTATCGACGCGCATAGCACTGAGAGGGGCTCAGCAGCAGTTCGCGGTAGAAAAAACAGGCCCCACAGGCAATCCAGATGGCTGCCGGAGCGAGGTTGTGCTGCAGCAGGACAAGACACCACGGCCACTGCTTGATGCACTGCTGCATGTCTTCTGACGGCGCGCGGAAGAGGGGCCACAGGCCGGGGACGACGCCGCAGCAGAGCCAGAGGCACACGTGGACGTTGATGGTGCCGAACTGCAGCGGGTCGGGGCGCTCGGCGGGGCGAATCCTGTGAGCGGGGTAGTAAAAGAAGGGCGATCATGATGCAGATGCGGTGGGCATACCACAGGGTTATTGCATAGACGAGGCATAATGCGTAGATGGGGGTGAGAATCGTGAATACCAATGGCACGGCTGGGAGACAGTGTCAGGGTTTGCCAGTGCGGGCGGGGGATTCGGGAATGTCGGAGGACGGACCGAGATGCGTGTTCACATATGTGTCGTCGACGGCTTTGCCATGGCGAGCAATTGTGAAAAGGATGGGCAGCTGCCCCGAGACGGTGCATAGGATATACCACACCGCCAGGGCGCGCGCGACATCTAGTAGAATGTGGTTAATCTACTCGTAGCCTTCAAGTTGTGGCGCTCACGATGGTAGAGTCGTGGGGACAGTGAAAGGGTGGAGGTCCGGGGGGAGAGCATGATGTGGGTGGGAGAAGGGCGGTGGACGACGGGCGCTAAGACGGGTAAGTACTCAGCCCGATCAAGTTTCAAGAATAACTCGACACTTGTAGTGTCCAGGCCCGAGCTATCTGAAGGCATCAGCGCGCGCACATTGCCTGGCAGCAGCGGTCGTCTCAAAGACCATGCGCAGACGCTGATGCACGCGGGCAGCGCCGACGACAACGACAACGGCGGTGGTGGTGGTGAAGTCAGAAGGGTAAAACGACGACCGGCCGGTCGGGCCCGTGACCCGATGACACGTGTCGCTTATCAACTCTCTCCGGTCCTCTCACTTCCCCGACTCGGACCCGCCCGCTGCCCCGGGCCACATGGCCGCCTCCCGCTTCAAAGAGCGCCGCCTGCATGGCCGCGAACGGCCCCGCGCTCGCTTGCCGGGCCACCGCTCAACGCCAAGCGGCCGAATCCGAGTCAGCTGTCTGCTCTACACAGCTAAGTCATGGACTCCCGCCTGCCGTTTGCCGAACCGCTCCAATGCCTGCCGAACTTCGTTTTCCGCCCTCGCCGCCTTTAAAGCCCGCAAAGTCGATACTAGAAAGACCGACGACGTCAGCGCCAATCTCGAGCCTGAGAACGAGGAGAACACGCACCATCTTTGGAATCGCCAGCGGGCACAAGGCCGCAACTTGGATGCTGGAGACGCGGGTTAGCATGCGGATGGCGGGGAGGAGAGGGTTGAGGACGGTGCGTTTGTCGTCCGCCCATAGCGCGTCTGTTGCTAACTGTCAGGTTCTTGTAGACGTTGTCGAACGGTCAGCAGGCGCGAATGGTGAGATTATATGCATCATCTGTGTCCTTTTGCTGGATAGTGGTCTCGTTTTGACGCCTAGCTCAACGCCGACTCGGAGGAGGGAAAAGGTATGCGGAGGGAACAGACATGAATGAGTGGGTCGTGGATTTGAGTCTGCGAGAAGGCGCGGAGAAGCGAGCGCTGTTGGCCGGTGAGTACAAGTCAAGGGCTAAAACGCGTACTAACTTAGCTTGAAGGTCTGCGAACGATAGCGGAGGCGATCCAGGAAACGAGGCCTATGCCAAGTAAGTATACACATTCTCGAATGAACTGATGGGACCTAACTCCTCCTCCAGCTTGGATTTGGCGAAGGGACCACGGACGATGCCTATGACGGTCGTATGGGGAAGAAACAGCGCGAGAACGGGGCTGTGATAAGGTCAGCATTCAACAGCCAGATCTAGAATGTGGAGCTGATTTTGGGGCAAGAGCGCGGAAGGCGCGTGTCCAGCTCGAGCGCTGTCGGTCGGTAAGTACAAGCCAAAGGCCAAAAACGACTACGACATTACCTGGAAGGCTTACGAATGAAATCGGGTTTGAGTGGAGGACGAAGGCCCAAGGCCTATATATCGAAGGGCGGGCAGATGATCGTAGTAAAGGCGACATATTCTCTAAGGTCATTGCCCTCTGTCAAGGACTGCCCATCCACGAGAAGAGCCTGGTACTGCCCGGATTTCACCCTCTCGAAGGAGAAACGCCGTCGTGCCCCATATATAAAGCGGCACGGGAAAACGTGCTCGACGGCGGTCTTAGGCCTTGAGTTGCGGGGCATAAAGAATTGGGTAGAACGGGAGCGGTATGGGCACGAGAAGATGCGCTCTATAGAGCGACAGCTTTGGTGTCAGGGAAGATATCCGCAGTCTTTTCGAATGGCGGAGGGCACGTGACTTGCCATATGCGGACAAAATTTCGAGTCGGTCTTGTGGGTGGTCCTTGGGTAGTGCAAGCCCTGACGGGGAGGCGGAGGAGCAAACAGATAACGGATAAGCATGAAAGTATGATATTGATTCGAAGAAGGTGTTGTTGCCCTTGTAACTATTCTCGAAGACGCTTCAGACAGGAAAATTGAAGTAAAAAGATCATACCTTTGAATGTACTTGTCGCGCGATGATGAGAGGGATTGCTTTATATGGGTCGGCCATCCCGCTCTCCTTGCGCGGACGAGCGAAGCCAACGGGCAAGGAAGGAAGGGACCGGAGAAGAGGCAGCCTAACAAAGGATTTCTTCGTCCTGCTTAAGTGTAAGTAGAGTCGGACGGGGCAAGTAACTCCTCACACATACACATATGCTAATCCTTCAAAACGCCTGAAACATACCATCTCCCAAGTGCCCCGCCACCCCGAATTACCTCGCCTGACGCGTACGTCGGCATTCGATAGAGAAATATTGGCCATCCCGCCACACGACCGCCGCAGGCAAAACACCCTCAACGTCGGCCTTGCCCCTCAAAAAGCGGGGCAGAAAGAATTGGATAGGAGTTGAACAGTATGGGGTACAAGGATATACGCTCAATGGAGCGATAGCTGTGGTGCCGGGGCAGATATGTCGTATTCTTTGCGGACGGCGAGGTGCACGTGACTTGCCAAAGCCGGACAAGATTTCGAGTTTGGTCGTGCGGGTAGTGCAGGCGTCAAAGGGGCGGCGGAGGAGCCGACGGTGAAGGATGGAGTGAATGTTATGTTGCTTTTGAGTAGATATTGGTGTCCTTGTGGCTAGACAAGGCTTCAGACAGAATCGCTGGAGTGAAAAGTGGATTGTCCCTTGAAACACGCTTGTCGCACGAAAACGAGAGGTATAAACATATTGGACTCTGCCATCGCGATATGCTTACGCGGATACAGGTTTGTCGACTGACCACTGGCTAGGGCGAGTGATGACGGTGAGCCAAACCGCCATCGGGCCAGCATCACAACCGCCAACGCAAGTTCTGCATGTTGTTGCGGAGACGAAGCACAATCGAGGGGTGGATAGACCATCGATGGCGGGGAGGACTAGAGTATTTGGTCAACGGCAGGAAGGTGGGTGGTCAAACACACACCCATACTGGCGGTAACTCCCTCCTTTCTTCCCCAAAACTGATATGCGAGCCTTCTCTGGCAGCAGGATGAGAATGTCACGGTATGGTGACTGAGAAAGCGAGCGGCAAACAAGCCTGCTGGGGAGACCATTAGCACCGACAATAAGCGAGGAGAGTGACTGCATGCGCATCTGTATCCACACTTGTTCCTCGCGTGGCTGCTCCTTCGAGAACCACCCAAGACTCTTTCGGTCGTCGTTGCCAGCATAAGTGCCTTTGAGTCGCTGCAAGGTAGCGCAGGAGCAGAGCTATGCTAAAGGTCAGCGATTAATACAAGCCAATGCGCGCGAAGACGCACATTGCTCCGTTTGCAGACATCGGGTGAGCAGTTTGAATGCTTGGTGGAGAAGGGCAGGTACCCGGCATGTTCGTTGGAGGGCTTGACGAGTTTGAGGCCGGCGGGATCACCGAGGTCGGGAAACAAGAAGTGGGCGTGTGACATGCACTCGTTTCTCTCTTCCCGACTCCATGGTCCCGCCAGTTGGCGGTCTCGACGACGGCACCCGCTCTTCTGCGGTCATATACGACATCCTAACGCGAGGCACTAACCGTGGTCTTCGGGGTCAACAACGAAGACAAGAGCAAGATGTCGATATCGAGTATCGCCGCGTACTAGTAGTTTCGCAATCGGTGCGCGCACGTCTCTGCCTGCTTTCTCTGTTTGAAGCCACTGAAAAGACTCCAGCTCAAGCCACTCTGGACCACCTACAACGAATGGTGCGACAACACGGGTGCAAGTACTTAGCACTTGCATGACTCTCAGAACGAGCCCAAGCGCTTCGAGTGGCGACACGTGTAGAGGACAAGGGAGGCGGAATCTGGAATTGGAGTCTACAGGTGTGTGGCCTTCTCGAGCTCATCCCTTGTCAAGTGTTAACCAGAATTTTCAGCTCTTTTCTTCTTCCGTTTGAGACAAGACCTCGCTAGATCTCTTGCGAATCCTTATACTGCCCACTATCGTCATCGGCAACCTCTACTGCGCCAACACCCATTGGAGCTCCTCCTTTTTGGTCTCTGCCTCGCCGAGCGCGGAGTTTGTGGCCACCCTCACCTTGGTTGGCGACTTCTCCTGTGGGACTGCTGCTGCTGCGATCCTTCATGGCAGGTAGTAACTTGCAGACGATATTTGGGCTAGGAGCCTAACGGGTGGAGGAGTGGGATTCGACGATGAATGAGATGAAGAGGGAAAAGGTCGATGCGGAAGTCAAGCGCTCCGGTTGCTGTTGTTCGGGGAGAGCAAAACGAAGGTCATGAGGAACAACGATGTGTTCTCCATCTTCACTCCTTCCTGCACCGTATCTGGCACCAACCCCGTCGCGCCTTTCTCCTTCAATAGCATCATTCCCGCCTTCTTTTATTCCACTTCTCCTGCATGTATCTCGAGCTCGTATTTGATTCGCAATGCTTTTTCACCACTGTAGCGAAACAAGAGATGTATGTATATCACCTATTCAAGAAAGAAGGACCCTTCTATTACAAGGGCTAACTCACCTTCTTCGTCCCATTGTCGCAGTTGGGCTTGAAGCTCGTCACCCAGCGGACATTGAATTCCTTGATAGTGGAATAGAGCAAGATTGAAGAAATACGAGAAGGGCACTGCATTAACATGCAACATTCTGCTGTGGGTGAATTCCTTCAAAGCGTGGTCCGTAAACGCAAAGCGGCCGGAGATCTCGAATAAACCAAGCTTGGGAACCAGCATCCGGTCTGGATCTACATCGACGGTGAGCCGGTTCAGCAGCTCGTCGGTTACGAGGGGCGGCGGACTCTCCGTGGTGTAGGTGTCCACGAGGCACAGGTCCTCTAACGAGTCAAGCCGAGCAAGAATATCACAAAGCTCAGGCGCCCTCAAAGGTAGGGTGATGATGAGACAAGTCAGGCGTTGTCCCATATTCGAGCGTCCGATGAGAGTGCAGAATTCGATTTGGTTCCAGCATAGATGGCTTGGATTTTCGGGCTTATTAGATCCCAGTATCAACTGCGTAACCTTGGGAAACACAAGCAAAGCTAGGACGCGCCCCAGACTATGAATGGCTTGTGCATCGCCGACCATTGCCCGGAAATGAAGTTTGAGCGACCAGCTCAGCACTGGTTGGGGCGTCACTGCTGTCAGGTTGGCATCGTCATTTTGCTCGAGAAACAAGTTGAGGAACAATGCACAATGAGATGAAAGGCTCTGTAAGGGGAGAAAGCGCAAGTCGGAGGGAGGGAAGGGAAGGTTGGTGGCAAAAGAAAATTGTCGGAACTGGTTCCACGGCAGCCTGACCATTGACAAGTCCATCGCACGTCCACAGAATACCACACTCCCCAATCGAGGAGCATCGGAGAAACAGTCGATGGTATGGGAATGGGACAACGGCTGAAAGATACGCAAATCCAGAGATTCCAAACAGTCCAGATGGTGGTGAACTGGAGCAAGCAGCGAAACTGTCTCGTTGTCAAAGTCCAGTGTGACATCCTTCCATCGTCCCGCATGCTTCGCAACAAGTTCTAGCGCACGAGGAGCTTCTTGATCTTCACTGTATGCTGCCCAACCGGCAGACATAGCCCTGAGCTGCAGTACCAGCGGATATTGACCACCCCTGGCTAAAGCTGTCTTGGTCAAATGGAAGGCTTTTTGCGAGGGTACTGGTGAGCTGGTCAAGATCGGCCCGTCGAGTATAAGCTGGCTCCAAAGACTTTGCGTCGATAATGCCACCTCCCGCCAGTGCGAGCAAACCTTCACAAGGAGATTAAAAACTTCGGCTGCTCGGCAAGTGCTGCTCGCGAACATGAGCTGACCTGCATAAGAGAACGGAGGTTGGGACTGATCAGGTTCCGCAATGCTGCATCAGAGTCCTTGATTTCCTCCACAGTGTGGTACATATCGGCACGCGACATCAGTACAGTCAATTCGAAGATGGACGCAATAATCTCTGTTGGGAGCCGGCGGATATGCGCTGTGAGGAGGCTCTTGCACCGGGAGGCATAGTGGACAACCCGCGCTCGTTCTTCGGTAGCTGCCCAGACCAGTTCCTCCAGTCGGGCAAGATGAGCGTCGTAGATGGCAATGGTCGCAGACGCAGCACTCAGTTTGCTGGGGATATCCACAGGAGTTGGATGGTTTGAGCGAGTGATAGAGTCGAGCTGTTCGATTTCAGACGTAGAAGGCAGGCCAAGAGCCTCCGGGTGGAACGAACAAAGAAAGCAGGTTGTCATGATGGTTATGGAGCGAAAGGAAAGACGGGCCGGTCACGTTGCGTCACCCGTCAATCCTTCTTCGTCTTGACTTCCACCCGCCTTGCCACTGTCGTCTGCAATGCTCGGGGAAAGCACTGCTGTTGGGACGGACCTGTTTGGCGCCTGCCGCCTTCGTGTTTGGCGTACTAGACGTCTGCGCGGGCGTCTCTTAGTGCGTTTTAACGGCCGACTGGGGCGAAGTCCGACTGACCTTCCTCCGCTAGGCGATGATGCGTACCGCCCCGACCTCTGGGAGCAAAGAGTAACAGCAGAGCGGGCGGGAAGAAGAAGGAAAGATTGGTCTTTGTGGTGCGCTATTATGCTCATTTGTCGTCCGGTTTCTGAGTGAGCGGCAGCGAACCTGATGCTGTATGGCACGACTGTGTCGATCACCAAATGCGCAAGCTATTCAAGGCCAACAACCTCGTTTGCCATGACGAGTCAGCCAGTCGCTGGTCTTTCTGGTGCGTTAAAGCATCCTCTTGTCGTCCTCTGCATTGTTAACGTTTTCTTGTCTGCAGATGCCCTCCAATTCCCGTTGGACAACCACAACTCGGCAAGGACATTACTCCGCGAGCATTGGGCTGCTCGCAACACTCGCAAGTCCCACGACAACGACTCTGAAACGAGTTGCCGCTTGAGCTGGGGAGGGTGAAGAGGAGCTCTGTCTGAAACGACTTGAATCGGTGCGTCTTATCGTCCTTATGGCAATAAATAGTACGCTCATTTTGTGCTCAGTCGGGCTGGAAAGCCTTAGCACCATGCCCGCCTGGAACAGGCTCGACCAAACTGTTATGGTGTCCGCCCGCACATCATCCCAATACCTCCTTTGCCCGTCTACACTCGTGAATCTGTCTTTCTTGGACGGGGGTGTGCGGGGAGACTTCTATTTCTCGACTATTTTCGCCCTCTTTCGCCAAATGCCCACACACACACACAACGCTGCCAATGTCATAATCCCTTCTTCCACGACAGCCTCTCGCTCCTCTACATCTACGCAAGCTCCAGCTCCAGCTACCTCCGCCATTTGCAGAGTACACACCCGCTTCGACGACACTTTTTCCGGTGCCTTCGCAAGTCACATGCGTCACCGTCACGCTGCCCACATCCGACTTTGAGGTTCTGCTCCTGCATTACCTACGCCTCTATCGAGTGGATATCGTGGTGTATTACACCCCGTTGGTGCCACACAATCCTTTCTGGGCGCCGCGATGGTCCAGAAGGTCTTCGTCAACGCCGTTTTCGACAGCGACCACACTTCTACCGGAATTGGCTTTGCATCTATGCTGCAAGCTACGACCACTCGAAAATGCGTATCTACACATGCCTGTGCATGTACCCTTAGGATTGTCAAGGTTTTCGAACGCGCTTTGGCACCACGTTCGACCTCCGCGGTCGTTTCGTGCCCATTGTCGCGGTTCTCTGGGTCCAACCAAGCGGGCTAGCCTGCCCACACTGCTATGCGATGGAGGACGATGTTCTCTGGCGGCTCAACGAATCTACAGTCTATTCTCCGGACGATTATGGGTCGCTTTTAGGATACACGCTACAAGCTTACATGTACTTATGTCGCCCAGGAGCCACGGTATACTTATCGCTTGTCGGACTATTCCTCACAATGTACGTTGTATTGTGAATAAACGATCTTTCTTGTTCTGTATCGATGCGCAGCGTACTCATAAGAAAGAAAGAACCCGGAACGGGGGGAGAGAGTAACGACAAGATGACCGTATATCATTATAAGATGAAGACTAAGCATTCTCGGTCTTACAGTACCCTCTATGGACCTAGTAGTCTTTCCGGCCCCTCGCTATTGCATCGAAACTGAATGAGTTTGACTCGGACAGTGGTCACACACGCGCCTTCCTTCCTCTTCTCCCTCATGGGACGTCTCATCAACCTCTCTCGTTTCCTCAAACCACTTAAAGCTCGAGCCCCAGCGTTTGTCCGCTGTTTGTGGGACACGTCACGGTAGATACCGTGGGCAGATTTTGGTGCGCAAATCTTCGTTCCTTCCCTGTCTGGCTTTATGTCCATCCGCCTTTGCAGATGGCCCGCCCAACCGGGCTCCGCACTTGCGCGCCTTGAACACACATTCCACCTTAATCCTTCCGGCTTGCGCGGCCGCATTCGCCATCGACACCTGCCCCGGACTGCTCGAGGGACCTCAGCCTCCCAAGATTGCGCTCCCCGACTCCCCCGTGTCTGTCCGCGACGGGCGCTGGATGCTATTCCAACGCGCGGCAATGTAACGAGTGCGTACCTCGCCATACCGCCCATATCTCTCCGCTGACACTCGTTTTTAGCCCTGTCATTGCCCCCGGTCTCCCGCCGCCATACTTATCGTTTCGAATACGGGTTCTGCAGCGGTAGAAGGCCAGATGATGTGTGTGCCTTTCTGACTTGCTGAAGGCCTGCGTCGACTCACGACACCCCACAGTATCCTTCGCCTTCTTTTATTGGTCCTCGAGAGCTGATACTACATACTTATTGCTGGGCGGCGGAGAACGCGGGAACGAAGCGTGGGGGCTAGAAGACAAAAGGGAAGCACCATATAGCTGGGCAAGGCAAATGGTGCGCGTGCTATCTCTGTCTTTTATCTGCCATTGACGCCTCTGTAGATAACTTCAAAAGCCCTTCCTCGTTTGCTGCATTTACGCATCCTTATTATCTCTGTCCGATCTCTGTCCCATATACCCCTTCCCACTTTTGACATGGCGGTGTTGCCCAACCCAATCCATCCGCTTCTCTTTACCGCTCATCCCTACATATCACTTACTTTCCTTCTTCAAATCCGTTCTCATGTTCCTGCTCATCCCACACGCGTGGTTTCCCTTGTTATTCGTCTCTTCTTACACATACAAGACTTGTTGTACAAACGGTCTTTCGGGCAATGATCTCACATGCGTGCAATACTCTTTCTCATGCAAATTAGTCCCATCCCGATCTCAAGTGCGGGATGACATCTGGCTGCCACCTGCTACTGTTGTCAGAGGTCATTAAAGGAGACGACGGCACTGCCCGCATCTTATGCGCTCTCTTCCCCTTCTTGTGGCCGTGGTTGTGGTCACACAGGTGGCCTCGCAGCCGCAGGGCTCGTCATGGCGGGTTCGTGTCTTTATTGGCCTTCGGGTTTTATTGATCATGGCTCGCCCAGAAGCCGAATATAACCACTTCGCTCGAGGACCGCGTTCTGCTCGCCCAAGGGGCCATCTCGCAGGCCATCTCAGAGCTGGACAGCACAACCTCGATGTTTCCCGATCCCGGTTCGTGTTTCCGCGCGTGCTAGCGCTTTCATTGTCGGAGGGGCTCATTAGCAGTTTAGTGGACACCTATGGTTTTTCTGGCGCTCTTTACTCCCTGCTCGCCGAGTTCGACCAGCTCACGAACCGGTCGCGGTATGCTGTCGATCTGGTGGGGTACTTTGGCTCGGCGAGCGCGGTGACGGCGGCAAACTTCTCGGGCCTTTATGTGGTATGTGAAGAACTTGTGTTGCCGCGGAGGATAATTGACATCGACTTTATAGCGTTCTATCCCTGCTGGTAGCAGACTCGAATTGACAACTGAGGATTGTAGCTCAATAATGGCCTGTGTGCAGCTTTCGGTTCTGTCTCGTGATATGCAGAGGCTGAATTGGCTACAGGAACTTCGGACACGGAGCTGTCGTCGCATATAAGGCGTATAACAACTCGTTGTTCCTCCAATTCGCTGTTCAAGCATGGTCGGCCGCAGTGCCCTACACACTCACACAGGCGGCGCTCGATGCAGGCAAGACATCGAACAAGAATTTCACTTTGAGCCATGACTGTCAAGGGGGTATGTGCATCTCCCGACCAACATAAGTGACGTCGCTCAAGATCCACACAGTTAGCATGGCGGGCGGAACATTCTGGGTTCAATTGCCTTCTTATTACGACTCATTGCTCTGTTCTGACGCGACATAGAGCACGGACCCTGCCGATCCTCAGCTGGTTGTTCTCGCAACAGGGTGCGCTCTATAATCAGCCAGTTGTTATGTCGGTACTTACCTCCCGCCTCAGCAGTTTCTTCGTGTTTGTTCCCTTACGCCCAACATCCCCCTTCCTCATTTACATTCAGCCTTTCTGCTTTGTTGGCAGAAGCGACCGCGGACCCGAAGTATCTGTTTGCGGCAGTCCAGGCCGTGTCTTTCATTCGTTCCCACCTGTACAGCCATGGGGACGTCGTGCTCGACGGGCTATCGGCGAATGTCAATGACAAGTGTGCGTTAAACACTGCGGGCCGCCTGCCCTATAATTCTGGCGTCGTTATCGAAGGACTGGCCGTGCTGTACTCGATTTCACGCAACACCACCTATCGCGACATGTGAGTAATGTCCCGCTGTTTCCCAGCTATTGCTTACCGAATACCCTCCAAGGCTTGATGAACTTATCACTGCCTCGCTCGCGACGACCGCCTGGCAAAATGATACGGGAATCATCCAGTGGGGACGTGAGTTTGTGTTGTTTGGCTCTCCACATTTGGTTTTCATCGTCGTTAGCTACCAAAAACGGCGACGGATCGGTTCCTCGTGGGCTGGTGGCCGCGCACCTGCGTAACGCGATGAGCCCGTCCTTGACGCCGTCCGTTCTCGCATATCTCGCTGTTCAGGTTTGGCATTGATTTCCTGCAAATGATGTTAATTCTGACCAAGGCGTAGTATAACGCTGTCGCCGACCTGGCGAAGCAGAGTGGCGGCGATATATACGGAGCCTCGTGGATTGGGCCTCCGGGTACCACGTTTGACGTGGGTTCCCAAATTAACGCCATCCAGGCGTTGATCAGCTCGCTCGCTCTCAACGACACTGCTTCGAGCTCGACCTCGTTCTTGTTCTCGCTCGCACCCGCACCAACAGTAACGAGCTCTGTCTCCCCCCGGGCCCGTCCATCCTCGGAGAAAGCAAAGCAGGCTATCGGCGGCATTGTCGGTATGGTTCTCGGCGCGCTCGTCGTTCTGGCCTTGATTGGCGCGCTGCTACTGTGCTGGAGTCGGAAAAGGAGATATAGTCGGCTGATGACACCGTTCGTTGAGGCGCCGAGTTCCGCTCTTGATATGAGAGATTGGCACCAGCGTTTCGATTCTTTAGGACCCCCCGGGCAGGGCCCCACCCCCCACAACTCCAAGCGACGGGGCGGCATGGCACAAGACCGCAATTTCCCCGTGAAGAGGGCCCCCAGCAGCAACTCGTGGGCAGTTCCGCCACCGACCCTGGCACAGGTCAACGGCGCGGGACGGCAAGCAGCAGCGCTATCGTTCTACCCCAACCAAGGTGGGTTGGGCGGCGTTGCCTCGGAGGAGCGGACGAGAGAGGAATTGACGGGGATACTGAGCAGTAGGATGAGTGGCGGCAGCGCTGGGGGTTTCGAGGAGACCTTACCAGAATATCGGACGGTGTATGGAGGATGAATTGATGTTATTGCGTTATAGGCGGCGCGACCATCTGCGGGAATGATTCTGCTGTTGGGTGAGGCGCAAGGATACATTTCCAGAATGACTCTCGCGGCGCGGCCAGGACAACTGCCATAGGATCGGTTTTGCGATTGCTCGTATACTAAGAGCAGCGCTTAGTCGGACTGTCGGAGTAAAGAGTCAATACGGAGGCCCGGGAAGTGATCGAAGATGAGATACCTACAACAGGTCAGCGTTAAGTAGTAGGAAGAAAACAAGGGCTTTTATGACCGCGAAAGCAATCATGGCAGGACTCCCTGCTGGGCGGCTTCGCGATGATTGTCGCCCGGCTACTAGTAGTAGCCTCGCGCAACGGCCACGGTTAAAAGGTGCAACATAACGACCATGGAAACACCAGCGCGCGCCACGGGGCCCCGCTGCAGCACGAGGCGCCATCCCACCGCGGCGGCGGCGGGGTCGACAGCAAGAGAGGTGGGAGCGTGAGAGAAGAACCGGCGTCTCGGGTCCGTGGCCCGAAGCACGTGTTGATGACAAACCACCTTCGCCTCTGCCTCTTCCCGCTCGCTCCGCCGACTAGCCCGCCCACAGCCTGCCCCAGAACACAGGACCATTCTCTGCCGAAAGACGCGTCGCTAGCGTGGCGCTTGCGCTCCTCCTCGCTTCGAGCTGCTGGGCTGGTGGCCAACTTCGAGCGTGAAAACGGGAAGCCAGCGAAAGCGCCACATGTACACCATCCGGCGCTTGCCAATGCTGCTGCAACGTGTCAGCGTGGAAGCACCGTAGTCTCTATCGTCGGTACCGCGCAAATCGATGCTGTTAAGCAAGATCTGGTGGTCAGCCACCGTGACGATGTCAGGAACAACGAGCACGACACGCACTCGTCAAGAGCGGCAACAAGATAGGAGGGAGGACTAGGCACGAGGGGTTTAAATGTGGAGCAGGAGGATGACGGGCAAGGTATGTGTATTGTCCGCGCCGGGGAGCATGCTTGGCTCACTAAAGCTTTCAGCCGACGACAACGTTAACGCGGCGTTGTCAACGCCGGTGAAGCTGCGGGACGAATTGAAAGGGCGAAATGGTGCGAGTGCTTGGTGTACTTTTGCGAACTCTATGACGACGACAACAGGGACAGGGCACTAATTCACAAGGTTTGCGCTGCTCGAAACGCTCGCGCGTCCCACGAGAACGACTCGAAAACAGGCGACAGGCGGCTGGGGAGGAGAGCATCTTTATATGGAGGGGTTTGCATGTGTATCGTTCGAAACCAGTCATATACTGACTTTGCTCTCAGACGGGCTGGAAAGCGCCAAGGGCATCGCCGCTGGTAACCCAACACAGGGAGCCAGCTCAACGTGTCCACATCCTCTTATCCCCTGCCCACACTTGCGTCTCTCCGTCTTGGCACACGATGGGCCAGAAGCCCCACATTCCTCGAAAATGAGCACCTCTTTTCGCCGATGACCACCACCCTGCCAAATACCATGCTCCCTCCACGATATATTTTCCTCTGCTCAAGCGTTAGCTTTTGCTACTCCTGCCATTTGCGGAGCCGCATTCTCGTTGCCGCCTTCAAATGTCACCATCACGCAGCCTACAGACGATTTTGCGGGTCTGGCCCTGCGCTTCCTACGCCTCTAGCGCCTGTATCTCATGGTGCATCACGTGTCATCCGTGCCCCACAATTCTTTTTGGGCGCTGAAACGCGCGAGGACGTCCTCGTTGACTCCGTTTTTGACAACGACCACGTGTATTCGAGGGATCGGCTTTGCATGCATATGGCAGGCCAGAACCACTCAGAAATCTGCATCCACACATGCCTGTGCATGTACCCTCGCGCATTACGACCTTTGCGACCTTGTTTTGGCACCGTTTCCGTTCTTCGCGGCTGTTTTGGGCTTGTTGTCTCTGCTTTCTGGATCCAAGCCAGACATATCGCCCAGTCTTCGCTGCGGGACGCGCTACTACTTGCGCGGCCAGTACCACTCGCGCTGCTTCTCGTGTCGAGCTGGCTGGGCTGGTGGACATTAAACAACGGCGAGCGCAAAAGTCTCAAGCCAACGAAGGACCATATGTGTGCCATCCAACACTCGACGAACCGAAGCCGAACCGCCTCTACTGATGTCTCGGCCGTCCGTGTTTTTCGAATCCATTCCGCAAAGCAACGCCTGGCTCTAGTCAGCAACGGTGTCAAGAACGACAAAGTCGGGAACGGGCAGAACGGCAGTGGTAACAAGAAGGAAAGAAGACTGAGCAGAGGGTTAGCAACTTAGCATGCGGAGCAGGGGATGGGAGACGAGCAGGGTATGCGTGTCATCTGCTGGGAGCTTACTTTTTATTCGTCGACAGAATCGTGACTCCGTGAGTCCTGGCTATTACTCTCGGCGGACTGCTGACTCGTTCCTCTATGTAAGCGAACATACCACTGCGCTCAAGATGCCGACTCCCATTCTGACAAGATCAGCACGCGAGAAACAAGTGCATCGCACAACATCCGAATAGTCAAAGCGCTCAGATTCTATGAACTTCCTTTCGTTTGGCAATTCATACATGTAAATTGTGGCCAATGAATAGATACTATTGAGAACCATTTGAATTGGTGCGATTCAGGGAGGGCTTCAAATACATGCTAGTGGAGACCTCCAATACCTCCGGTGAATGGCTAATTGTTCGCTCGAGAGCTGGAGATGTCTCAGCATAAAGCAGTGTTGCTGGGGAGAGGTTGAAGTCAGATCTGGGAAACAGGTGAACGCCAGCTATAATGACACTGCATCAGGCTGCGGAGGTTGGGCATCTTGCTTCGACTTGAATACCATACATGTGGCCTTCTCCGCCTACCCAAGGACCAGCTGTCGAGGACAAGAAGAAGCCCCGCCTCCGTATCTCGATCAGCCCGTCCAACAGGCAACTCCCCACAGTTCGCACAGAAGCTTTCCTCCCCCGCCCCCAATCCGCTCAAAACTCTCCCCTAAGCTCCTCCATCCCTTGAAAATCGCTCAATGTCAACTCCTCCAACGCATATATCGGCCTTCGACGAAGATATATCGGCCATGCCTCTCATATGGGTGCAGGGGAAAACGCGCTCAACAGCGACCTTCTCCCTTGAATCGCGGGACAAAAAGAATTGGATAGGAGGGGGAGCATATGAGGCACAATTGGATACACTCTATAGAGCGCCAGCCGCCGCGTTGTGTGAGATATGTGGCCGTCTGTCGGTGAGCCAAGCGCGCACGTGACTTGCCATTTATGGAAGTCGATTAATCGGAGACGTCGATTGCATTTGGAGGGTGCAGGCGTGGGCGGGGAGGACGGGGGAGGAATAAGAATAGACCGGGGAGGTATAGTGAGGCCGCAGTTGAGTCGCTACCATGGTCCGCAAGCTGTAACCCAAATTTTCCTTCGTGTTTGTAGTCGGCATCGGTCGGGTATTCGCCACAAGCAGATACATAGTCCTTGGTAAGCTGCGCAGATGATGCCACAAGGATGGATCAGGGTTTGGGCAGAATATGCCATTCTTCTCGCCGACGAAGCGGATGAAATATCTTGTGTGGCATGTGGAGGAAAACTGGCACGACAGGCCGTATCGACGACGATGAAAGAGAGTAATTTGTCGCGCGCCTATATCCAAACGCCTCCAGCGCTTGCTGCCTTCCTAGGTCTACGCTAGAAGTACCGAAGATTCCATCCTCGTGTGTGCTCTGCTGCCCGAGCGCAAAGCTGCGAGTATGATTGCTACGCCAGAAGTCAGCTGCAAATACAAGGTCAAAGCACCTGAAAACGCACATTGCTCCATTGCCAACTAAGCTCGTCCCGCTCATCCCCTCGTTTACTCTGCTCCCAGCAGCGCCTGCTATCTTGGCAGCTCTCTGAAAGTCTCCTTAGTTAACCCCTCAAGTTCGTCCGCTGGGCTGTCGCCACTTAGTCTTCGATTTGGAGCAAGGATGAGAGAAGGTTTTTGCGAGCTGTAGACAGAACGGCTTAGGGAGGTGGATGAACATTGCGGTGACGGTAAGAGAGAAGAAGAGATGTCACCCTGACCGCCATGCTCGACCATGGTTCCTCGCCAGCAGCACTGATTCCGCCTCCATTTCACGGTCTCTGTCTTCTACTCTCAAGCCATTCAGTCAACCCACTCGAGACGAGGTTGTGTGCTCTATATTGTCTCTTGCGCACAGGCTAAATAAAAATGATTTCCTGAAGATACTGATACTTACACTATCCTCCGCCGGGCGCTCACTGCCCAACGAGTTCATAATCGTCAAAGGTGGTGACCCGTGAGTCGTGGCTGTTGCCCGGGGCCATAGCAAGTCGGTACCCAACCTGGGGCTTTTATGCATCATTGTCTCTGACAAGAGAACAGGAATGATGAATCAAGCCCTGTAGCTCTGACATGCCCATGATGCATCATGGCTCCTCTGGTTCCCTTGCATAATGACGCTGCATCAACAATGTGATCGCAACATCACATCTTCGCTGTCGGCGTCCATCACAGTGATCAGCACCCGTCGCCATCGCCGTCGACAATGAGCACAGAATGTTGGTAAAATAATTCTAGAAAATTCGAAAAAAATTACCCGGGGTAGGTATATAGTCGCTCATCAACGAGCAGTGATTTATTCATGTGATAGGCAGGTGCCAATCCCCGAAATTACGCTGCTCCAGTACGGGCCTGTTTGGACCCACACTGCGCAATGCCCACAATCAGGCACCTAGCCACGACAGTGAGCCACAGGGCCCCGCCGACCCGGTTCGCAGGCAGCCTCCGATCGCTTCGCTGGCTTGTTTCTCAAGGTTCAGCACCTCTCCTTCGCCCTCTCCTCGGCGCCGCTTTGCGCACCTCTCCACACGCGACTGTGCACAGCTGGTTTTCTCGTCCCAAAGAGTGCAGAGACTGCTCGAAGAGATGCCGCGGCCCCATTTCCCTTCCATAACCCGCCGTTATGTATATCCACCCTCCGCCTCACGTGCCCGCTGTTCAGCGTCCGTCGCCCAGCGGATCA